AATTACAGACCCTATATTTTTAAACATATCAACACTTGATATACTTTATGTACATAGAGAGACAGTAAAAGAGAACAAGAAATAAAGCAGCAAGATGTAATAAGCTTGGTCTTTAGAGCAAGAAAGTCTTCTGCCGAAAATGGCAGGAATACAAAATTATGAGAATGCTTTATGAGTCTTTTAGGATTGGCATTGCTTCATGAAAAAATGTTTTTTGACTTATTATGAAAAATATTTTTTTTACCCTGCTGTGATTTTAAAAAGTCTAGAAAAAATAATTGAACATTCAGCTTACAGGATTTTTCTGTTTCTTCAGATACAAAATGCACAGTACTCATAGAAAAACATGTTGCTACTATAGACTTCATAGTTTACAAAAGAGGAATTCGTATCACAGTTTAATTGCATCACTTTTTAAAAAGCGAATGAACAAGACACAGTGTAAAGAAAGAAAAGAATAAAATCTATGCATGCTTTAATCTTCTGCAAATAATTTAATATGCACAGAAGAAAGAAAACATTCCATAGATGGTAACATTCCTTCTACACACATTTATATATAAATGTACAAAATTACAAAGAATAATCAGTCATATGCTTTGATCATGCATGTTTTTGTTTACTTAGCACAGTACTGTAAACGAAAAGCAGAAGGTGCATTTATAATGACACCCCGAAGATATTACGTCTTTCTTTTTAAGAGAGTTAGAATCACACAATATCTGAAGGGCAAGTGTTAAGAAAGCAAAGAAAGTGGTTATTCATTATACTATTTCTAACACTCTCCTAGAGAACATGGAGGACTCAACCAAGAAGTACTTCAGTAATAAACACAACTCTGTTTATATGAAAAGGAGCAATGAACAAAGGCATAGGAAACCAACTCCATCAGAATAACAATAACATCCTGGTACTTGACATAGGGTGGAACAGACATCTAACTCCTTCCACTGGATTTCATATCACATTATCATACACAAACCATATTTTACCAATATGATTATGTATATTTGGACAATAGCATAGTATTTACAACATGACATACGAGTTGGCACTCAACATTGCCAGTGAGAATCAAATCAGATCAAGGCTATGTTGGGTGACAATCCCACTATTTTTAAAGTGGTAATTAATTTAAAACAAATAACAAGTAACACCATTGAACAAAGAGGACTAGCACTCGCTTCACCAAGCGCTCTCACACAATATCACAATACCCTTTACAGAAGTTCTCGGAAGAACATAAGGGCCCATACTTAAAATCCTAAATAACTTTACAGGGGGACTTAAAGTCTGCAACCTCATTTGAAGTAACTAAATATCAGTCACGACAAACATCAAAAAGTGACAACAGTTCATGATTCGGGCAAAGAGTAAATTCTTTTACCAGTTTCAATCTTTTGCAAGTATTTGACCATCTTTTCCTTTCTTTCTAGATGCGTAGGAACAAATGAAATATCCCTCAGTCTCATTGCTAACGGCAGACGGTGGGTTGCGGGTTACAAAAAAGGTCACACCCTGTTTGCCCTGGTGGACATCCCAAGAGGGACACCCCTAGAGGGACACCCCTAGACGCTGGCCGGCGGGTCGGCGGGTGCGCCGCAGCTGCCGCCCCACGGCACAAAGGACGCGAGCACCTCCTTGTAGCTGGACTTGGGCGTGCTGGGGGCGAGCAGAACGTTGCGCTGCTGGCTGCAGTTGTCGTCCTTGTGCAGGTCCAGCAGGTCGTAGCTCGCCGAGTAGTTGAGCTTGGCCAGCGCGTGGTTCTTGGCCAGCGCGCCACCCGGGCCGCCGCAGCTGGGGCCCAGCCTGTTGACGCCGTGGCCGTGGCCGGGCCCGTGGCCCCAGCCCACCCCGGTGCCGCACGGCAGCAACGGGACCTTCTTGTCGCTCAGCGCCGGGAACGCGCAGGCACTGCAAGCACAGAAGGCAGCACAAAGTTAGCATGATACGTGGCAACGAGACTGAAGCTGTCGCCCTCCCGCGTACTACGAACCTCCTCGACCCACCCCGCCCGCCACCCGCCACGCCCATGACATCAACAGCCATCCTCTAGGCTCCAACATATGCACTGGTGTTTGGCCAGGCACGGGCCTCTGAAACAGAGCACCATCGACATGAGCGCCTCTGGGCCGGGGCGGGGGCGGGGCAGGGCGAGGGCGGCGAGTCTGGAGCAGCACCCGACTCACCTCAGCTTGCTGGCGCGCTGGTGCTGGCTGTCGGCCCGGAGCAGCCGCACGGCCAGGACGATGAGCAGCACGAGGATGAGGGCGCCGCAGATGGGCACCGCGATCGTGGCCGCCTTGAACCACATCTCGGCGGAGCGGGCGGCGGCGGCCGCTGCCGCGGCGGCCTCGGACGTGCCCGCCGACGGCCCCGCCTGGCCGGCGTGGGCCGCGGGGGCGCCCGCGGGGCTCGACACGGTCACGTGGGCCGCCTCGCTGCCGTTCGGACCTGCAATCAGACGAGGAGGGACACATGAGAAAAGCAGCTCGTTGTGACACTGAGGCTCAAGACAGGAAAACCACGGTATGACATGTATTTGGGGGCCCGTACTCCCCGCAAGCGCAATCCACGTCGAAATCTGATATCGGTATGCAGATATCACAGCGTCCCGTGCCGGCCGGTCCACCCGGCAGGCGGTCCCTCCTGCGGTAACCCCTTCCCGCTCCCCGCCCCTCTGTCAGTTAAGCCCTCGGCCGGTGACGGCCCCGAGGCCCAGGCAGAGGCCACGACGGGCTTCCACAGGGAAAGAGAGGCCCCCTGCCGCGCCGCTGCCCCCTCATTCCGTACGATTACAGCCAAAGGCGGGCGAGCGAGGAAGGCTATAAAACCTGGTTTATTTGTTTTAAGCCGAGTTAGCTCGCTATATAAGGATCTCCCCGCCGCCCTCTCCGAACCTTTTCCTTTTCCTCTTTAGGCGCATGACACACGCACGCACACTCGCACACTTGCGCGCGCTTCCGCCACAGAACTTTTTCGGTGGATTGATTTTGAATCTCTTTATCGTCGACGAGGTGGGACACCCGAGGGGACGCGCCTGCGGCGTATTATTTCCGACCCGTTGGAAAGGTCGGGTTGCGGCCGGACGATTTTGCACTCCTCGGTTTCGGCGACAGAGATGGAGTGCTCTTGCCGCGGGCTGTAGGTAGGTAGACTCGGTACAGCCAGCCAGACGAGCGGAGCGCACCCGAGCAGACCTGTACCAAGCTAATGAGCAAATAATACCCAAGCCGGGCTGGCTGGCTGGCTGGCTAGGCCCCAGACCTCTCCGCGCTCCGCGCTGCGCCACGCCACATAGCAAGAACGCCTCCCGCTGACTGGACAGAAACAAAGCAAACTCCCTTCTCCTTCCCTCTCACTCCTTTCCTTCCACGGCAGGGAATAATCCCTCTCTGTCTCTCCCGCTCCTCCTCTCTCTTTCCCTCCTGCTCCTTCCCGTCCTCATCGGCCTGTGCTGCCCGTCCCGTCCCGTCCGGCCGCCCGTACACGCAAATAATTTTCATTTATTTACGATTGCCCCACTGCGTGCCTTATGTAGACAACGGGCGAGTCTTTTTGTTTTATAGTCCACTTATCCCCCCCGATATAAAACTGACCATGTTTGTTTATCTCCGGCCGGGCCGGGCGGGGGGCTGCTCTCGGCGGCACCACGCCAGTCAGCCCGCGAGGTATGCAACCCTCTCCGAAGTCACTCCACTCCCGTCGTCCTCTTTCCTCCGTCGGTCGTCAGTTCGCGGGAACAAAGTCGTCGAAGCGAAATGGGTGTTTCGTCTCCGCTCACTTTTTGTTTTATTTTCGTGCCGCGGGCCGTATCCATATTCGAGGGCCTCCAAACTTCAACTTCAACTTCAACGAGGGTTTTAACGACTGCTTGTTCATAGCGAACTGGAGCCACCCATTTCTCGGGTCACGCAGTCAGGCCGGGTCCGGCCCATCCCCTGCGGTAGGCTAGTGCCGTCCCGTCCGTGGGTTCGCAAACGCTGGCACCCCTTCTGCTCTCTGGTTTAGCTCCGGGTGTGCACAGACTTACATCGCTAGTCACCATCGCCTAGCGGCGGTATACTCCGGGCTGTTAGCGTGGCACAGTAGGCATTTGACAAACATGGGAAGGGGACGACGACGAGGAGGAGGCAGTTGGGCCCTGGGGGGCCCGCGGGGGCCGGAGACAAAGCGAACGTGCTGGTCCCAACAACAACAACAGAGTGACACCGCGGCGCGGGGGGACCGCAGGGGAGGGAGGGCCACTTTGTGTGGAGGGCAGAGCGAGGCAGCGCCACCGCCCCAGGCAGGGCAGGGCTGCTCTGGCCCTGGCCAGGGCGCCGCAGGGGACCGACTATTTTTGGCTCATTGGCCAAGATGGGGGCGCGCCGCCGTTGGGACCAAACCAAAGCCATCGAAAAACTTTTCTTTCTGCATGAAAAAAGTGAAAACAGATGTTAGGGATGAATGTTTCTAGAGTGCTGCGCGGGCCCCGCGGGCGCCCCACACACCTGCCAGCGCCCCCATTCCCCAACCCCACCGACGGCCAATCCCAACTTCTTTTTCCAGCCAGTTCGATATCATTTTCCCCCTGAGTTATATTTACGCGATTGGCCTAGGCTCCTTGCCCTAAATCACTTGGGGTTGGCTGGCGCCCGGCGCCGCTGCCGCTAGTCGGGCTGCCAGCGCGGGTTTCTCCGCGGCTGCCGCCGGCGCCTGTCAGCCATTGCAGTAATCCTCACTCAGCCATCGGCCAAAGCCATCGGGCGGGCAGCGGTTATATTTCGCACCTGTCCGCACGTCTTTAAATGTTGCCCGGGCATGCGATGCGAGAGGCGCGGGGCGTGGCGGCGCCGGGATCCAACCGAGTTGGCAAATACCTCTTCGGCGGGATCGCGGATCCCTCCCAGGGGCCGTGACCCGAACGAACACGCGAAAATGGACGAGTCGACGACGTCTTAACGTCGAGCCAGAAAAGCGACACTACAGTGAAACTTACCGCTGTGCCTCATCCTGGAGTCGGGGCTGTCGATGTGGTTGCACATGTCCTCGGTGCAGCACAGCAACAGCGACGGCGTGTCCCTCGGCACGTCCTGCTGTGCGTCGTCCACCACGATCGTGTCCTCCTCCTGCTGCTGGTGTTGCTCTATCTGCGGCTGGGCGTCGTCCTGGTCCTGGAGGCCCTCCTGCTCCCAGGCTGGCACGTCATCGTCCACCTCCTCGGCGGCGCTGGGCCGCGGCTGGTTCTTGCACTGGCGCTGCCGGTCGTCGTCGAGCAGGTCGAGGCAGCCGTGCCGCGCCCGGTACACGTCCACGTGGTCCACCAGGTCCGAGAAGCAGCCGCGGCCCGCCGACTTGCACATGTAGCCCGTCGTGATGCATGCGGGCAGGTTGCAGTAGCAGCGCACGACGCCTGGGGGCACAAGAGAGAAAGGAGCTGTTCAAGTCATTGTTGTACAGAGATTATCTCGAGTGGTCATGAGCCATTCCCGGCGCCATTGGGAGGCAAACGCGCCGGTCCTGCCGTCCATGAAGTGGGGCCCCGAGCAGGACCCCCCGCGCCCGCCAGTCCACCAGATCGCACCCGCGATACGGTAGCGGCGGAGCGGCGGCGGCGGCCGGGGCGCAGCGGAAACAGGAAAGACACCCGCGGGTCGGCACTCGGCAGCAGACCGGCATAAATAAATAATAAAGCTATTGAAACTCAATAAGCGTGTGAATGACTCGGAGCGGAGCCATGAGGAGGAGGGAGCGGCTAAGCAGGACATCAACATGACAATGGGGCGGCCGCCATGAGGCGGTGTGGGGCCAGCATGGCTCGGGCGCAGAGCGGCGCGCACACACGGCCGGGGTGTTGACTTGACCGCGGCCCCGCCCCGCCCCGCCCCGCGCCATCAAGCACCTGCTGCTCATTCACAGGGTGGCTGCCGCTGCTCCTATGCGCCGCTTAGCGGGGGACAGAGAGAGGTGAAATGAATTACGATCACTGTCGTGGTGCTGCCCCTTCCCCTCCCCTCTCTCTTTCTATCTCCCTCTCTGTCACACAGCCGCACCACAACACTCCGTCCGCTAAGCAGACTGCGCATAAATTACACGCCGCTCCCAGTCCCAGAGTTCGATTCTCTGTTTGTTTCTCCACTCTGCTAATACCTGTCTAATCCGAGCCGAAAGGCCAGCGTGCTTAACTTTGCTTTAAAGCCTTTCTTTTTATTTGGGTTATTTAGTCACGCAACAACTGTCTTCTTCCTCATTCCTTTATGGATAGTAGCCGAGCACTGAACTTACGAACGCTTGAGTCACCTGGTTCAAGCCAAGAGTCTAGGTCTGCTCAGATCCCCCACCTCCTCCTGCAAATCGCCCCAGGCCCAGGCGAGGCGAGCTGGCCGCGCCGCCATCTTGTACGGTTTTGTTTATGTCTTCTAATTGAAAGACCGCCGTACTGTGGACACAGCGGGGGGGAAAGAGAGGAGAGAGAAGAGAAAAATAAAGCAAGAGTGAAAGAGCACGCAAGAGCGGACGGGGGCCGGCCATTAGAGGGCCAGGGGAGAGAGAGGCGAACGAGAGAGGAAGAGAAAAGCATTGATACAGTCTTCTTAATTTTTCAGGCCTCTCGCTGGCCATTTTCCTTCTTGGCATTCCTTGCGCACTGCTGCGCCGCGTTTGTGGCGTTATTATTATTTTGCACCGGGGCAGGGACTGCATTGCACTGCGTTGCCTACATACTTTGGTCCATGCCGCCGCGGCCGCGCGCGGGAGGCAGTCATGCGGCCGGCCTGCATTCCGCGAGTGCTCTCCCATGACGATCAAGACGAAGATCATCACGACGATGATCGCTGCATCCGTCCTCTTCCTCCACCTCCTCCTCCACCCGCCCGTTCTCTTTGCAGAGTTGCGCACCGCAGCGGTGGGCATCATTGTGTCCGAAGGGCAAATGGTTGCAAATCGACGCGAACGGTCCCTCTACATGATTGGCGAAGGAGCCACGGTTCACCGGGTACCCACCGGGGCACCCACAGGGCACCCACCGGGCCCACCTGACGCGAGTGCAGTGCTGCTGCTACTGCTGCCGCCGCAGCGCCTGGCTGGCCCCTCTTGCTCCTGCCCCGCCCCGCCACATTCCAGGTCCGGCCAGAGTCCGGCCGGAGGCAGCAGCGGCACTCGCCGTTGCTTCGACTTCGAGGCCATAAAAATGAAAACCCTTGCGCCGTGCGCCCCCTTCACCCCCTCTCCCTCTCTCCTTTACCCTCCTGGTCGCACCGGCGACTTGACCCGTCTGAGGTAATACATCGATACTTCAGTTCTCTCTCTCTCGCACTCTCTCTCTCCCTCTTTCGCGAGCGAAATGTATTTTAAGACGAGCGACGGCGGGGGGGATCCGTGACTCATACCGTCGTTTGCACAGGCATGGCTGTGCGTGTGCGGCCCTGGCCCTAACGCTGCAAGTACAATCTGACCGAGTACCAAGGCCGGGTACCGCGACAGAGTACTAACGATTGAAGCAGGGCAGGGCAGCCCTCGGGGGGCAGCCTCGCGCCTTGGGCTTTACTCTTGATGCTTTGTGTCCGCGGCGCCGTCTTCAACTCCATCACAATAATAAATGATGTACCCGACGAGGAAGTGAGTAGTCCTAGTCGGGCCAGCCAGCCTAAAACCTCACCATCTCCACCGCAATAACAATCGAGTAAAATTTAGACTCGACGACAGACGACACATGCTGAACACGGCGTGGAACGTCGCCGCCACCGTCGCCGACAACCATCACGGAGAGAAACAGAGGAAAGGATGGTGGAAAAAAGAAAGAGAAATATATATTCTCCCCGTCAATAATCGTGTACAAAAAGAGACGAAAAATAATCGTAAATTATGAAAATTAAATCAAATCTACAAGCGGTCCGCGACAGGGACACGCGCGTCGCCGGCCCGACCGGGCAGGACACACAAGGCGTCCATTATACGACAACAGCTCGGCCCGCTCCGTCCCATTCCTCGGATCGTTTTTCTTCCTCCTCATCCTCTTCTCTCCTGTTCCCATAGCCGCCGCTTGGCGCCGCTAGACGGCCCTGTCCTCTCTCACACACACACTTGCGCCTTTCCCTGCTCGTCTGGTCTCATCCGTCGCGCTTCGGCAATAAAGGCGCGGACTGGACGCGACCGTCCAGCGTGACTTAGAGGCGTCCGCGCGGCAGGACCGCGTCCCGGGTCTCCGTTCAGCGACATGATAAAACAATTGTCGAAGTGATGGACCGGCGCCGGGAGAGACCCTTTCGTACACTTGGGGTACTAAATGTCGGAATTTCCCTTTGAAATTCTCACACTTGTCCCTCTACGTGTACGCATTGCGTCCACACTCCTACAAGTGTGTGGCATTCACACATGTCTTAGTTGGCGTGCGCGCGTAGGTCCCGGTGGCGCTGCACTTGTTGGGCCGGGCCGAACTGCTTGGACTCGGGAGGAATGCCGCCCTATAATCCCC